TGAAGTAGGGTTCCCTGTGCTATATAGCAGGTTCTCATTAGTTATCTATTTTATACCAGAACAAATACTTAATGTCAATGAAACGAGCTTGTCCTGGAAGTGGATGCTGGAGCATAAACAAATTCATCAAGAGTCCAAGACAATGCCAAAACCAAAGGCAATCGAAGACTGTGTAATGATGCTTTGGGGTGGAAATGTTGCAGGGTTCAAATTAAAGCCTTTCCTAACCTACCTCTTGGAGAACCCCAGAGCATTCAAGAATATGAGCAAGCATAAGCTTCCCATTTATTATTGCCATAACAAGAAAGGCTGGATGACATTGGCATTGTCTGAAGACTGGTTTTTTAACTGTTTTATTCCACAGGCAAGAGAATACTGCAGGCAAAACAAGATCCTATTCAAGAGCCTTCTGATCTTAGACAGTTTTCCAGGGCATCCACAGCATCTTCTGTGACATGTATCCTGATGTAAAGGTTGTGTATTTGCTGCCAAACACAACTGCACTATTCAACCAATGGACTAAGTTGCAGTAGCTATGTTCAAAGCATACTGTACCTCAAACATTGCCCATACTACTGAAGTGACTAGAAATGTGGCTGAAAGCTCCAAGAGTTTTGGAGAGGTTTTAACATGGGAATAAGTCACACAGCAATGCATGCATGAACAGCATTTGGAAGAAAGCTTAGAAGACATGTGGACACATTCAAAGGCTCTAACAAAGATTCTGCTGTCGATGAAACAGTTAAGTAAAAAGATATTAGTGCTTGGGAAGAAAGTGGAATGAGATTGTTGAAGAGGATATTCCTGAGGTGGTTCTCATTGAGGCTGAAGAGCTTTCCAATGAGGAACTCATCAAAGTGGAGAAAGAAAAATTAAAACGTTGAGGAAGAGGAAGAAGATGTTATACCCAAAGTATTATGATAACAGAGATGTACGTTGAGGGCATTATGGTCGGACAGAAAGATGAATGCTGCATGATCCAAAAAAGCCAAACTCATAGAAACAAGGCATTAGGTCGGACAGAAAGATAAATGCTGCATGATCCAAAAAAGCCAAACTCATAGAAACAGAGAGAAGGGTGGTTGCCATTGGATGGGGAATGGGGAAACAGATGTCAATCAAAGGGAACAAACCTCCAGTTTTAAGTTGAATAAGTTTTGGGGATGTAATGTACAATGGACTTATATACATGAAAGTTGCAAAGAGAGTAGGTATAAAATGTTCTCACCACAGAAAAGAAACAGTAATTATGACAGGTGATGAAGGTGTTAACTAACCCTACTGTGGTAATCATTTTGCAAAATGTAAGAGTATACTCCTTAAGCTTACACGACATCATGTCAGTTTATATCTCTACAAAGCGGGAAAATAAGAAAAAAATTAAGTCAAATGATTCCATGACCTTCATGCAAGATGTAAAGCTAAAAAAATCTTAGAAGAGAACATGGGGCAAAAGATTCACTACATTGAATTTGGCAATGATTTTTTGGCAATGACATAAAAGACACAAAAAAGAAACAAAAGAAAACAGACAAATGGGACTTCATGAACATTAAGAAATTTTGTACATAAAAACAATATCAACACACTAAAATGGAGGATTTTGAGGATGTTAAATTGAGGATTTTCTCAACACACAATATCAGTCTACAAAATGGTAGAAATAATTGCAAGTATTTACATTTATAAATGTTTATCAAAGGGATTACTATCAAGAATATATATAGAAATCCAAAAAAGGCAACAATTAAAATTTTCAAACCCATTTAATGAATAAATGGGCAAAGGACTTTGGATAGATATGGCCAGTAAGTACATGAAAAGCTGTTTAACATCAAAAATCATTAGAAAAGTGTAAATCAAAACTATGAGGTATCATCTCATACCCGGTAGAATGGCTACTATTAAAACAAAACAAAAACAGAATAACAAGTATTGAGGAAGATGTGGAGAAACCATAACCCATCTGCACTGTTGGCGGGAATGAAAGAAGGTACAGCTCCTATGGAAAACAGCATAGTTTTCTTCAAAAGAAGAAATGTGGTTCCTCAAAAATATTAAAGATAGACTGACATATGATCCAGCAATTCTACTTCTTGTTATATACTCAAAATACTTGAAAGAAGGCTCTTGAAGAGATATTTGTACGTCTGTGTACATAGCAGCTTTTTTCACAATAGCTAAAATATGGAAGCAACACAAGTGTCAATAGATGAATGAAAGGACAAGCAAAATGTGGTATACACATAGAATGGTCTATTATTATTCACCCTTCAAAAGAGGGAAACTCTGACATACACTACATGGATGAACCTTGAGGAAATTATGCTAAGGGAAATAAGCCAGTCACAAAAGGACAAATACTGTAGGATTCCATTAATATGATGTGTACTTCAGAGATGTCAAAATCATCAAGATGGAAAGTAGAATGATTGTTGCCAGGAGCCAGGGGGAAAGGGGAATGAATGGTGATTTATTGTGTAATGAATACTGAGTTTCAGTTTTATAAGATGAAAAAAGTTCTGGGCACAGATAGTGGTGATGGCTACACATAATATTAATGTACTTAATGCCACTGAACTGAACCACTTAAAAATAGTAAAGACAGTAAATTGTATTCTATTTGGTATTTCATCAAAGTTTTCAAAATTGAAGTAAAGGAAGGAGACAACTTAAAAGAAGCCAGTCATGAAAAACAGTAGACACGTGGTAAATGGCGAGTTGGCCAACTCTTTCATGACATGTCAGAGAGTAAATATTGTAGGTTATTTTGGCCATACTTATGTGTCCCAACTCTTCAACTTCGTTATAGGAGCAAGAAAGCAGCTGTAGAAAACATAAACAGGGACTTCCCTGGTGGCGCAGTGGTTAAGAATCCTCCTGCCAATGCAGGGGACACGGGTTCGAGCCCTGGTCCAGGAAGATCCTACGTGCTGCAGAGCACTTAAGCCCATGCGCCACAACTACTGAGCCTGCACTCTAGAGCCCGTGAGCCACAACTACTGAGCCCATGTGCCACAAACACTGAAGCCCGTGCGCCTAGAGCCCGTGCTCCACAAGAGAAGCCACTGCAAGGAGAAGCCCGTGCACTGCAACGAAGAGTAGCCCCCACTCGCCGCAACTAGAGAAAGCCTGCACGCAGCAACAGAGACCCAATGCAGCCAAAAATAAATAAATTAATTAATTAAAAAAGAAAATGTAAACAAATGAGGGTAGCAGTGTTGCAATAAAACATTACAAAAAAGAGTGTGGGATGTGGTTTGTCATCCACTGTTCTACAATAAAAGCAAATAGTCACAATAATCTAATAAACCTAGACTGAATATAATTTTGGAAATTACTTATAAAAGACATACCTGGTGAAATTTTTAAAATTTGAATATGGATTAAATACTGGAAGAGAAAATTATTATTTTCTTATGTGTGATTGATTATATGGGGATTTGAGTAAGGAAATTGGATTTTTATGGGATGCATTGATATATTTAGGGATGAAACATCATAACGTTCATAACACTGAAATTATTCAGCCAGAATATAGGAAAGAAAATGAGGCAATGCATTAAAATACATTTGCTTCAGTGTTCTTATAAAAATGTTTATATGCTTAAAATTATCCATAATTAAAAGATAGAGATGATTACAAAATGGATATCCTTTTTAAAATTCCTAATCAATTCTGATTTGTGCAAAAGGAATATAAATTCCTGTCTATTTTCAATATTCCACATTTTCTAAACCTATATGTCTGAATTTAATTCCAAGATTAAATGTTTGATGCACTTTAAGAGACCTGAATGAAGATCCTCTAATGTCTTTTTAATCACATTTTAACTTTATCCAGAATGAATTAAAATTCAATAAGGGATAAGTAGTTACATAGAGCTTTTCTTAATTCATTAAACCTCTGGGTCTTTATATCAAAGAAGTCACTAAGAATACTATAAATAATGATTACATTAGAAATAGTGCCTTTTTTTTTAATATAAAGTATATAGCAAATATTTTCCCAAGTTTTTTACATGTACTACTTCATGTAATTCTAAGAACAGCAGTATACTGGAGGTACTACCATCATCATTTAAAAATGAGGCCAAAGGGAATTCCCTGGTGGTCCAGTGGTTAGGGATCCACGCTTTCACTGCTGAGGGCCCGGGTTCAATCCCTAGTTGGGGAACTAAGATCCCACAAGCTTTGATGCAGACACACACACACAAAAAGCTCAAAACGGAAAAGTACACCTTACTGAATGTCACACAGTTCATAAGAAGCACAAAAGCAATTGTGATCATTAAGATAGGTACAATGGCTAAAGGCTTTCCCACATCTGTTACATTAATAGATGTTTTGTGTATTACAACTTTTCCCAAATTTAATACTTGGTGCTAGAAAAGTTTTGTACATAAAGAGTAAAGAAAAAGGGTTTCCTACAGACACTAAATTTTCCTCAGTATGAATATTCCGATAACCCATAAATAGGGGAATGTCCAAAAAGACTTTCTTATGATATATACACTATAAGTTCTCTGAATTGAGCAACATATGGGTCAAAACAAACAAACAAAAAAATCAAGCATTATTTACATTCCAAGCTGTTCATACAAGTATAAATTGGTACCTTATAGGAATGGAACCCTATCTAAAAGCCTTCTATTGTCTTCATTCAAACTGTTTCTCAGTTATATAAATCCATCCATGTACAGTACATCATCTAGTGTGTATATATATATACCATAAAGTCTCTATCCACTATGAATTCTCTGATGTACTTCAAGGATTGAACTAAGCCTGAAGGACATATGTTACATTGAAAGTATGAAGTCTATTATGTACAGTAAGTTGACGGCTATTACTAAAAACTTGCCCACACTCTTGACATACATAGGATTTCTCACCAGTATGAATCTTCTCATGTGTAAGAAGATATGAAGCACAATGAAAGGCTTTCCAACATTTCTTCACATTCGTAGGGTTTATCACCAGTATGAATTCTCTCATGACTAACAAGATGTCTCACCAAAAGCCTCTCCACATTCATTATGATGATAGGACTTTTCACCAGTATGAATTCTGTCATGTGTTACAAGGGTTGAGGCTAGATGAAAGCTTTTTCCACATTCCTTACATTCATAGTGTTTCTCACCAGTGTGAATACTCTGATATTTTTTAAGGCTTGCAATGCATGTAAAAGCCTTCCCGCATTTGTTACATTCAAAGCGTTTCTTACAACTATGAGTAGTTTGATGCCTGGTGAGTCTTCCACACAGACCAAAGGTCTTCCCACATTCCTTACATTCATAAGATTTCTCACCACTATGAACTCCATAATGTATAGTAAGTTGATAGCTGTAACTAAAAGCTTTCCAAAGCTCCTGACACACAAAAGTTTTTTCACCAGAATGAATTCTCTTATATATAACAAGGTATGAGGCAGTGTGAAAGGCTTTCCCACATTCCTTACATTCATAAGGTTTCTCACAAGTATGAATCCTCTGAGGTACTTAAGGGTTGAACTGGCACTAAAGGACTTCCCACACTTGTTACATTTATAGGGCTTCTCACCAGTATGAACACTATTATGTCAAATAAGTCCTTCACACCTTCTAAAGACATTTCCACATTTCTTATGGTCATAGGGTTTCTCACCAGTATGAATCCTCTTATGTATTTTAACGGTTGAACTTGCACTAAAGAACTTCCCACACGTGTTACATTCATGGGGTTTCTCATCAGTACAAATACTAATGCTGAGTAAGTCCATATACACTAAAGGTCTTCCCACATTCCTTACATTCATAGGGTTGTCTCACCAGTATGAATTCTCAGGTGTGCTTTAAGGCTTGAAATGTACTTAAGATTTCCCACACTTGTCACATTCAAAAGGTTTCGCACCACTATGAATTCTATGATGTAATCTAAGAATTGGAGCATCACTAAAGGCCTTACCACATTCCTTACATACACAGGATTTCTCACCAATATGAACTCTTCCATGTTGAGCAAGGTTTGAGGCACAACTAAAGGCCTTCCCACATTCTTCATCTTCATAGGGCTTCTAACCACTATGAATTATCTGATACAGAAAAAGAGATGAATGTTTTTCATATATAAACGTTTTTCTATGGCTGATTATTATATAACTTGAATCCAAATCTAAACTAAATGAGAAAAAAAATATTACCATTCCATGGCAAGAAAAAGGAAATGTTCTATAGTACAATTAATAGAAATTTCAAAATCTTCCCCAGTAGAGATGGGTCAGAGAACAGTTATAAAATTTGAAATACTGAAAGGAGAGCTCAAAAAAAACCATGATTTTATGGAGTGAAGTGCTGTTAAGTATTTAACAACCAGCTCTACACACACAGAGAGAGACACCCCTGTTTTGTAGTGTTTACCAGTGTTCACAGTGTAAATACTCCTACCATGGCCAATAGCAATGTACTGATATAATTCAGTGAACATAGAGTTAGGGAGAGATGTGCATGGTTGGCCCTGGCATGACATTACTGCCCAGCTCTAACACACCACTCCCATATACAATGTAGGTATATACAAATGTATAAATAATAAAAGGTGAATATCTATGCCTGGTGATTCTATAATTACAATGCCACTAAAAATTACAAATGTCTCCCCCACTGTGGTTCACTCCCTCTTATGCACAGCCATGTGTTCTTTTCAAATGAGATACTGAGTTTTTATTTACTTAACTCCCCTTGAGAGTTCACATCAAATACAAAGGTTGAAATCTTTTTTCAAAGTTAATGATGGTCTTCCCTGGTGGTGCAGTGGTTAAGAATCCGCCTGCCAATGCAGGGGACATGGGTTCGAGCCCTGGTCTGGGAAGATCCCAAATGCCGTGGAGCAACTAAGCCCATGTGCCACAACTACTGAGCCTGTGCTCTAGAGCCCGCCAGCCACAACTACTGAAGCCCACGTGCCTAGACCCTGTGCTCTGCAACAAGAGAAGCCACCGCAATGAGAAGCCTGCACACTGCAACGAAGAGTAACCCCCCTCACCACAACTAGAGAAAGCTCACACACAGCAACAAAGACCCAAAGCAGTCAAAAATTTAAAAAATAAGAAAATTAAAGGAAAAAAAAGAGAAGCTATTTAAAAAAAAAGAAACACTCTGTGGGAAGGCCTTTGTAAGGGTTAATTTCTTATTGAAGCATGGAAAAATATTTCCTGGTGAGAAATGATCACAAGAAGCACAAGAAGGCCTTTAAACTTAGTTCAAACCTTAATGCACATAAAATAATTCATGATGATATAAAACCTTGTGAATATAGGAAATGTGAAAAGAAATACAGAATGCATGAAAAACTTACCCAACACAAAAATTCATAGTGGTGTGAAAATCGAAACATGAGGAATGTAGGAAAGCATTACATATGCCTCTCAACCTGTTTGACATAGGTGAATTCATGTTGGTGGAAGACCCTATAAATTTAAGAAATGTGGAAAGGCTTTTATAAGTGACTGTCAAGTTCCTGAATATGAGAATATTCATACTGATCTGAAATACTTTGAATGTTGGAAGATTTTTGCATTTACTTCAACCCTTATTATACAAAAGAGAATTAAAATTATGTAAAATTCCAGAAATGTAAGGAATGTGTAAAGGTGCTTAGAGTACACGGGAGCCTTAACATCAAAAAGTTATACTGGTGGGAAACCCTATGAATGAAAGGAATGAAGGAAGGCCTTTCATCATGTCTCATATCTTGTTCAACATGAGAAATTCATATTAGTGATAAAACCTATAGGTGAAAGAAATGTGGGTTGGCCATTAGAGATGGTTCAGCCCTTAAAGCACATCGAGTTATTCATATTGGTCTGAATTGATTAGAATATAAGGAATATAGGAATTCCTTTAAGCATAGCCAATCTCTGCTTAGCATCAGATAATTCCTACTACTGGGAAATTTCTGATTATGAATTATATTGATAGGCCTTCAGCAAATATTCCAACTCTTCTCTTAGCAAATACTCCAAATTTTCTTATATCAAAGAATTGATAATATAATCTACTCAACATAAAAGAGCTTTCAATTGTCACTCATGTATTAATTGAATATCAGACAATTTGAAATAGAGATAAATTCACAAAAGATAGGAATTCTTGCTTGTTTATGCCTGCAACATTCACACCATGAGATCTGTTGGATATTTTAATTTAATTAACACGTTCTGTAATATCTACTCCTGAGCAACACCGGTAACATTTATTATCTCTCATCATTTTTACAGGTCAGAATTTTGGGAATAGGTGGCTGGGCAATTATGGCTTGGGGTTTCCCATGAGGCTGCAGTTTTCTCAAGGCTCGAGAGCAGCTGGATGGTCCTCTTTATGAGCCTAATAAGTTGATACTGTTGGAGTCCACTGTATGGAAAAAGGGGGGGTGGCTTGGAATCTGGCGCCTGGTGAGGCGGGAAGCGGCATGAAGATCCCCATGTTCCCGCTCAAAATGACGGTCACGTTGCCGGGAAATCCACTGACCTGGAGAGAGAGCGGTAACTTCCTCTAGACTTGGGCAGAGGCCACCCGTGCCCTGCCATCACACTGGGCGGGTTCTCTGCCTCTTCCATTGCTTTGCAGGAAACTGTGGAAAGCCCCTTCTTTCCGCCATTCTTCCACACTAGGCCCCCAACCTCTCCCCGCCTCCTTCTCCCCTCCCATCCAGTCCCCTCTCTTCTCCCTGCCCCTTGCCGCCCCTCGGCAGGGCTTTCCTCCACTCTGCGAGGCCCCAACAGTCGGTCCGTATATTCCTCCAACCTTCCATTGAGCCGTGGATCCGTCCATCCTTTCTTCCGTCTATCGATCTGCTAGACCACTGGAAGACTTAGGCCCCAGGCCCTTCCTAGAGCACTGGACACGGCCCGAGCCAGCCAGCCAGCCAGCCCCAGAGCCAGCCGGCCCCAGAGCCAGCCAGCCAGCCGGCCCCAGAGTCAACCGGCCCCAGAGCCAGCCAGCCAGCCGGCCCCAGGGCCAGCCGGCCCCAGGGCCAGCCAGCCAGCCAGCCTTCTTCCTTTCTTCCTTCCTTCCCTCCTTCCTTCCTTCCCTCCTTCCAGCCAGGCAGGAGCCAGCCAGCCAGCCAGCCTTCTTCCTTTCTTCCTTCCCTCTTCCCTCCCTCCCTTTCTTCCTTCCTCCCTCCCTCCCTCCCTTCCTTCCTTGCCTGCTTCCATCCGCTCATTTATCCTTGCTTCCATCCATGTGCCAAAGGCACAGGGGCCGCAGGCGGCTCCTGCTCCTAGGCCGGCCAGCCGCCAGAGGGCGCGCCCTTATCACGCAGAGCCCCGCCCCCGTTTACTGAGTACCCCGGCAGTGCAACAAACGGGAAACCCGGGGCAACGAAGGCGTTTGACTGCGCCCGCATGGTTCGAGGGCAGGCTTCCACCAGCAGAATGCTGGTTGTCAGAGCCCAGGGAGGGGAGAGAGGAGGACGGAGGGCAGCGAGGGATGCAGGGAGGGTGCGCCAGCCCTCCTGTCTTCAGGCTCTGGACATCCTAGATCTCTTGGTCTCTGCCACCGTCTCCGCCAGTGGCTGCCAAAGCTGGTGGGCAGACCAAAGCATGCCGGGTACCTCTGTGTATCCAAATCTGGATCGGCATGGGTGGGAATGGTGTCAAATGGGAAGAGGGTGTGTGATCTCATCTGGTGAGGCGGGGGCGAGGAACATCCCAGAGTCCCGGCTCGAAATGTGAACTGTGGTCGTGTCACCAGAAAATCCACTGACCCCGAAAGTGGTACCTCCCCTAGACGTGGGCAGAGGAGGCCCATGCCCTGGTGCCACACTGGTTTGGGGTGGCGGGTGAGACGGGGGTCCCTGCCTCTGCCTCTCCCAGTGCCTCGCAGGGATGTGATGCAAGGCCCTACTCCGCGCAGTTCTTCCCAACTAGCCCCCACCTTCTACGCCCCCCCGCGCCCCTCCCACTCCATCCTGCTTGGTAAGCCTGGGCTGGCCCTTGCCGGCCTTTCCTCCACTCTTGGGAGCCCCAACCATCCGTCCATCTACTCATCCGTCAGTCCTTCTTGCCTTGTGAACCATAGATCCATCTCATGATGATCATCATCAAGAAACAATCCATTATAGGAAAAGAACAGAGTTATTGGAGCTAAACTCATTTGTTTGGAGCCAAAGTGAGCACACGATTTTCCTGGCACCTTCCTCTGTCAACAGGGGTTATAATCAATGCTTCATTTATTTATTCATTCATTCATTTACTTATTTATTTATGGCTCCGTTTGCTCTTCTTACTGCGAGGGTGTCTCTCTATTTGCATCAAGCTGGGGTACTCTTCTTTGTGGTGCACGGGTTTCTCATTGCAGTGGCTTCTCTTGTTGCGGAGCATGGGGTCTAGGTTCACAGGTTCAGTATTTGTGGCTTCCAGGGCTCTACAGCGCAGTCTTAGTAGTTGTGTCATATGGGTTTTGTTGTTCCCCTGCATGTGAGATCTTCCCAGAGTAGGGTTCGTACCCGTTTCCCCTGCATTGGTAGGTGGATTCTTAACCATTGCACCACCAGGGAAGTCCCTCTATTTCTTTCTTAGATTGAGTATTAATTTATTTTTCATTGACAAAATATACTCTGAGAGAGTGGTAAGATGAAATTAATAGAGATGTAAGTGGAAATTAATGAAATGAATAAGGAAAGCAGTAGCTAAAAGAACAAATGTGGTATAAGAGAAAAAATTTCTAGTAAAAAAGCAAAATCTTTTTATTTAAGAAGAGTAAGAGAGGCTTCCCCATAAATAGGACAAGTGGATGCATTTATTTCCCATTTTTCCTTTACAAAAAAAAAAAAGGATTAAAGTGAGTTCATTTAGTTGAGAAATACAAAATGTATTAACATGTGAGAACCAAAGAAAATGAGGATGACAGCAAATGGGAACTGTTGAAGAACTCTG